GTGGTAGTACATGTAGAAATTACCACAATCTATACAACAAAACATGAGGCAGTGTCCCAGATGGATCGAAAGTATGAGCTTCGGACAGAGTCAAATCCTGGGGTTCAAATCCTGACCGCTGTTCACTCCTTAATGGCCTTGAGCAAACAACTACATCTCCAGCCTCAGTCTCCTGATGACGGCATGTGCCTCCAACCACCCCCCTTTTCTTTTGTTATTAAAGTATCATTGATATACAATCTTACAAAGGCTTCACGTGAACAACCTTGTGGTTTCAACATTCACCCATATTATCAAGTCCTCACCCCGGCCCCTCTCCACTTCAGTTACTGTCTATCAATGTAGTAAGATGCTATAGAGTCACTACTTGTCTCCTCTGTGCTGTTCTGGCTCCCCCATGACCTATCTATATTGTGAGTGCTAATTATAATGCCCCTAAATCCCCTTCTCGTCTGCTCCCCACCCCCTTCCTTTTGGTAATAGCTAGTCCCTTCTCGGAGTCTGTGAGTCTGCTGCCATTTTATTCCTTCAGTTTTGCTTTGTTTTATGTTCCACAAATTAGTGAAGTCATTTGCTGCTTATCTTTCTCCACCTGGCTTATTTCATTGAGCATAATACCCTCCAGCTCCATTCATGTTCTTGCAAATGGTAGGATTTCTTTTCTTTTTATGGCTGAGTAATATTCTATTGTGTATATGTACCACATTCTTCTTTTTCCATTCAGCTATTGATGAGTACTTAGGTTGCTTCCATATCTTGGCTATTGTAAATACTGCTGCAATAAACATAGGGGTACATATGTCTTGTCGAATCAGGGATCTGGTTTTCTTCAGGTAAATTCCTAGAAGTGAAATTTCTGGGTCAAATGATATTTCTATTTTCAGTTTTTTGAGGAACTTCCATATTGCTTTCCACAACAGTTGAACTAATTTACATTCCCACCAGCAGTGTAGGAGGGTTCCCCTTTCTCCATATCCTCACCAGTATTTGCTATTTCTTGTCTTTCAGATCTCGGCCATCCTAACTGATGTGAGGTGATATCTCATTGTGGTCTTAATTTGCATTTCCCTGATAATTAACTACATGGAGCATCTTTTCATGTGCCTGCTGGCCATCTGAATTTCTTCTTTGGAGAAATGTCTGTTCAGGTCCTCTGCCCATTTTTTAATTGGCTTATTTGTTTTTTGGGTGTTGAGGTATGTGAGCTCTTTACATATTCTGGATCTTAACCCCTTATAGGATGAGTCTTTTACAAATATATTCTCCCATACTGTAGGATGCCTCTTTGTTCTGCTGATGGTGTCCTTTGCCGTACAGACACTTTTTAGTTTGATGTAATCCCACTTGTTCATTTTTTATTTTTTTTCCCTGGTCCAAGGAGATGTGTTCAGGAAAAAGTTGCTCATGTTTGTATTCAAGAAATTTTTGCCTATGTTTTCTTCTATGAGTTTTATGGTTTCATTACTTACATTTAGGTCTTTGATCCATTTGGAGTTTACTTTAGTGTATGGAGTTAGACAATAATCCAGTTTCATTCTCTTACATGTACCTGTCCAGTTTTGCCAACACCAGCTGTTGAAGAGGCTGTCTTTTCCCCATTGTATATTCATGGCTTATTTATCATACATTAATTGGCCATATATGTGTGGGTTTATATATGGGCTCTCTATTCTGTTCCCTTGATCTATGGATCTGTTCTTGTGCCAATACCAAATTGTTTTGATTATTGTAGCTTTGTAGTAGAGCTTGAAGTTGGGGAGTGTAATCCCCTCCAGCTTTGTTCTTCCTTCTCAGGATTGCTTTGGCTATTTGGGGTCTCTTGTGGTTCCATATGAATTTTAGAACTATTTGTTCTAGTTCATTGAAGAATGCTGTTGGTATTTTGATAGGGATTGCGTTCAATCTGTAGATTGCTTTAGGCAGGATAGCCATTTTGACAATATTAATTCTTCCTATCCATGAGCACAGGATATATTTCCATTTATTGGTGTCTTCTTTAATTTCTCTCATGAGTGTCTTGTAGTTTTCAGAGTATATGTCTTTCAACTCCTTGGTTAGGTTTATTCCTAGGTATTTTATTCTTTTTGGTGCAATTGTAAGTGGAGTTGTTTTCCTGATTTCTCTTTCTGCTAACTTTCCTGGATTCAGATATTGGATCTAGTAGTTTTGGAGTAGATTCTTAGGGTTTTCTATGTATAATATCATGTCATTTGCAAACAGTGACCATTTAACTTCTTCCTAAACAGTCTGGATGCCTTTTATTTCTTGGTGTTGTCTGGTTGCTGTGGCTAGGACCTCTAGTACTATGTCAAATAAAAGTGGTGAGAATGGGTATCCTTGTCTTGTTCCCAGTCTTAGAGGAAAAGCTTTCAGTTTTTCACTGTTAAGTATGATGTTGGCTATGGGTTTGTCATATATGGCCTTTATTATGTTAAGGTACATACCCACTATACCCATTTTGTTGAGAGTTTTTATCATAAGTGGATGTTGAATTTTGTCAAATGCTTTTTCAACATCTATTGAGATGATCATGCGATTTTTGTCCTTCTTTTTGTTGTGGTGGTGTATGATGTTGATTGGTTTTCAAATACTGTAGCATCCTTGCATTCCTGGAATAAATCCCACTTGGTCATGATGAATGATCTTTTTGATGTATTTTTTTTATTTGGTTTGCTATTATTTTGTTGGGAATCTTTGCATCTATGTTCATCAGGGATACTGGTCTATAATTTTCTCTTTTTGGGGTATCTTTGTCTGGTTTTGGTATTAGAGTGATTCTGGACTTATAGAATAAGTTCCGAAGTATTCCTTCCTCTTGTACTTTTTGGAATACTTTAAGGAGGGTGGGTATTAGCTCTTATTTAAATGTTTGATAAAATTCAGCTATGAAGCCATCTGGAACAGAAGTTGTGTTCTTAGGTAGTTTTTTTATTACCAGTTTGATTTCATTGCTGGTAATTGGTCTGTTCAGATTTTCTGTTTCTTCCTGGGTCAGCTGTGAAAGGTTGTATTGTTTTAGACAGTTGTCCATTTCTTCTATGTTGTCCAATTTGTCGGCATGTAATTTTTCATAGTATTCTCTAACAATTCTTTGTATTTCCAGGGAGTCCATTGTGATTTTTCCTTTTTCATTTCTCATTCTGTTTATGTGGGTGCACTGTCCTTTTTTCTTGATAAGTCTTGCCTCTGAACCTTTTATCAAGGGACCTAGTGGGATCCTTAGCTTAAGTTTGACATGTAAGAAATTTTCATCAAACTTTGGTTAGTACTATTAACTTTAATTACTGATTCACTCAAATCATTCAATTTATAAACAAATATTCCTTCTCTAAAATCTTGAAAAAACATGAAATTGGTCTGGCCATTTTGGCAGTGGGGAATATGATGTTCGAAGCATGTGAATTCATTGATTTAGAGAACATTCAGGAATAACAGAATGAGAAGGTGAGACCAGTATTGATAATCAACAGTTTCTCCTGAGCATTTGCAATATCCCTCTCTCTTCTAAGTGCTGGAGTTGCATTATCTCACTACATCTTCATGAGAATGTGTATCTTTATGTCGAGTATCACATATGAGAAAACTGAGGTTTAAAGATGTTTAGTAACTTACAACTAAAATGTTAGCTTTTTTTAAAGATTTATTCTCTTAGCAACTTTCAAATATGCAGTACTGTATGATTAACTACTATCACCATGCTGTACCTTATGTCATTTAATTGTTAATGTACTTACAGCATTTAATTGTTAAATGAGTTAATATTGTTATCTATAAATTAATATGCAATATGTTCTTTCAATGCCTGAAAATTCCAGTGTAATAGATCCATTCAAAATTGCTGAAAGAATATCCTGCCTCTCAAGAAACTATTTTGAATGCTTTGTTGATAGAGGTATGCTCATTATAGAAATTTTTATGGTAATGATGAAGAATATATAAATAACTAATGTCTCAAAATGTTTGAAAATCCTGATATGTTAATTCACAAATTATGGAGGAGTGCCCTGACTCTAAAAACTTGATTTGAAACACTTTGCTGCTACAAGAGCCCTCATTCTAGGGATTTTTGTAGTAGCAAGAAACAGAGGCCACTTTAATGTCCATTTTCAGGTAACCAGAGATTACTATAATAATATATAACTATAGATTGAGACACGTATAGAAAAACAAACATGTTTCTCACAGATAATTTTGATACATAATGGAAGATTAGTTTTTGAAACTGACTTTAGTACTCAGTAATACATCCTGCCCAAAGGGAATTTAGGACAAGGGATTAAAGAAGGCAAAGACAAATTACGGAAAAGGGAAGACCTTGCACAGACTGAACATGACAGCATGCCAGGACCAAGGGGACAGCCTCGCTCTCTGTGCTCAGAGGAGAGAAACAACCACTTCATCAAGCTGGGTTCAACATTCCTTTTAGATTTCCCTGTTGGTTATTTTGGCAAGCCCTTATTTTTTTTTCAAGACCATGTAATTGTTCTGATAGGAACTGAGTGTCCTGTGACCTCCTATGGAAAATACCTCTACCCCCACTACCCATCCACCTCCATCCCTTGTATATTGCTTTACTTTGTTCACAAAATTTGTCCCTACCTGATATTGTATTACATATATCTTTTGTTGATTATTTATATCCCCAACTAGAACATGAGCTACACAAAGGTAAGGATTTGTCTGTTTTTACTGCTGTGCTCTCAGCTGGGGAACAGTAATTTTCACAGAATAAGGATTAATGAACTTGAATCACACAGGTCCACCTCTGATGGTTTCTGAAGAAAAACTCTTATTCTGTCTCTGGCATTCAATATAAGGCCCTGTGATACCCACAGACATGGGAAGTGGGGATAACTTCAAGGACCATGAGCTGTCCCTTCATGCCAGCTAATTATCACCCAATAGGGGAAACAAATACTGGCTGAGTTCTCACGATCTGGGTTATGGAACTGGGGCGTGTCAAATAACAAAACTTCTTGTGTATAACCAGACCCAAGTCAATGGAAAGAGCCAACCAGACCAGCAGTGTCTCCCAGTTCATCCTCGTGGGACTCACGTCCCGGCCCGAGGACCAGAAGCCACTCTTTATCCTCTTCCTCACCATATACCTGGTCACTGTGACAGGGAACCTGCTCATCATCCTGGCCATCTGCTCTGACCACCAGCTCCACAGCCCCATGTACTTCTTCTTGAGTGTCCTTTCCTTCACTGACATTTGCTTCTCAACAACCACTGTCCCCAGGATGCTGGAGAACTTCCTGTCAGAGAAGACCATCTCCTACGCTGGGTGTCTGACACAGATGTATTTTATTTATGCTTTGGGCAACACTGACAGCTTCCTGCTGGCAGCCATGGCCTTTGACCGCTACGTGGCCATCTGTGACCCCTTCCACTATGTCACCACCATGAGCCACCGCCGCTGTGTCCTGATGGTGGTCTTCTCCTGCTCGTTTCCGCACCTCCACTCTCTCCTACACACACTTCTGCTGAATCACCTCACCTTCTGTGGCTCCAGTGTCATCCACCACTTCCTCTGTGACCTCAGCCCTCTGATGAAATTGTCCTGTTCCTCCACATTTGTCAATGAAACTGTGATAATGATAGAAGGGTCTGTTGTCTTGGTGACCCCCTTTCTATTCATTACTCTCTCTTATGTCCAAATCCTCAGCACAGTTCTCAAAATTCCCTCAGCTGCTGGGAAAGGCAAGGCCTTCTCCACCTGCGGTTCTCACCTCACCGTGGTGACACTCTTCTATGGAAGCATCTTCTATGTCTATTTACAGCCTTTGTCCACCTACACTGTCAGGGACCACATAGCCACAATTGTCTACACGGTTCTGACCTGCATGCTAAACCCGTTTATCTACAGCCTGAGAAATAAAGACCTGAAACAGGCCCTGAGGAAGCTGACAGGCAGGTGGAAACCCCAGGCAGTGCCCTCCTGACTGACGTACCAGTGGAGCTGGCACCACCTGAACCTGCTTGCTACTGGTTCTTGGAGAACAATCACACTGTCGGAGGTTGGCATTTTTAACCATAGTAAAACGGGCACTTAAATCCCCTGAGACAGACCCCCACCGCGCCTGCCTCTGCTTAAATCCTCCCCATTCCTCCACTGTCGGGTGGATATTCATCACCGCCCATCCTCCAAACAAGGCTGTAAACTAACCCCTTTCCTACAAATATCTCCTGAACGAATGTCTCTCTTACTATAAGATTCATTCATCTACTATAAGATTCACCCTTCCCATTTCAGTACATTACTGAAAACAATCACTTAATTTACAACTGTTGAATGTCTTTGCAAACATTTGAATGGGGAGAGAATAGAGGGAGAGAGGAAGAGGATTACATTTTAACTAATTTTCACATTTCAGGATTTTTATAAGTCCTTGTTTTTCTCTTTCAAAAATCTTTTTCTTGCTTAAAAATCAAGTGTTCCATTTTAAGTTTTCCTTCTTTCTTGCCTTCTTTGATGATATTTCTGTGTGTTTAGTTCTTTTTTAATTTTCTCTTATTTTTCTACCATAAAATTAAGAAATACTGATGACCAGAAAGATTAAAAAAACAAGAATCATAACTTGAAAATTATCCATTCCACCGTCAGGAGGATAGAACCTTTCTTTCCTCCATCTCTCCCTAAAGCTGTGTGTTTATAAATACATGATTTAATATTTCATTCTAGAATCTCCCACTATTAGATGTCTAACATATAGATGTCATCATAAATCTGTGCAATATTGAGATAGTTTCAGGCAATTTCAGTTGTAACAGATGAAAATTGACAACCCAAAGCCCATCAGTAGGGAATGAAGCAATTAAGCAGTAGGGAATGATTATTTGCTTGCTCCAATCACACTGGAGAACAGTGTGATTGTTCTCCAAGAACCAGTAGCAAGCAGGTTCAGGTGGTGCCGGCTCCACTGGTACGTCAGTCAGGAGTACATAGGATTACATAGAATGATGATCATTCTATGTAAATGATCATCATTTACATAGAAGGTAGCTACATGCAGCAGGTTCAAATAATCAAATGATGTCGTCTTCTTCCTTGAAAAGCTATTAGGTAGAAAATCAAGAAGTGGAACAAAGTATAAGCACGAATTCATAATGTTTTTTAAAGTTATAGGAATATATATGTGTGTATCGTCAGTGGAGTAACAATAGAAGTCCAGGGGTGGGGGACAAAGAGGAAGAAAATTTCCACTTTATACACATTTATTCAAAGCTATATTTACAGATCATGGAGTTTGTAACTATTAATAAAGCAGTTAAAAGACTGTTTGTATGGTACCAGCTGACAAACTTTTTTGATGCCTGCGTATCTGAAAAACATCATTATTTGGTGTTTTCACTTGAATGATAATTTAATAGGATGTAACATTCTTGGCACCAAAATTATTAAAACTTGGAAGTTATATCTAATTGTCCTACCACATCCGTGTTTTCAGGGAAAAACAAGAGGTCCTCCTAATCTGTATTCCTTTGTGATCTGCTCCCGTTAACCCCCTCGGGGTTAAAACAGGTAATAACTGGGACAAGTCAGGGAATTGTGACAGTTGAGAAAAGACCACATAATGGGAAATAATAGCAGGGAAGGGGTTGTCATTCTTTTCTTAAGAAACTGCCTCGGAGCAAGAGAGTCATACTTTTAGGTATTAATCTCATATGTGGTGCCGAGTCATGGCCAGTACAAGAAGATGCGTCAGGATTCGTTTTCCCTGAGATAAAGAATTGGACCAAAGCTACATTACAACAATTTCTTGAGACTTACATGTAGAGCTTGGAGAGAAGACATCAGTCAGAGCCCCGTGGTGACCTGCTTAGATAATAGCAGATTGGGGTTGTCGTTCTAGTCACATTTTGTTACAGGCTGATTCTCCGCAGCCCTGAGAGGATTCCCACTTGGAACCTCACTGGACACACTGTGACTGTGGCTAACAACTGCTACATCGTAAATTAATAATTTACGTTCCTATAAAGCAGCTTGGCACCCTGGTTAAATCAAGAGCTGAGGTATGAGGGAGACACACTGCTGTCACCTGCCCATTGTGTTGGAATCTAATTTGCTCTTTTAACTGCACCAGATATAAATGTTAATGGAAAACTACACCAGCAGGCATTCAAGGAATCACTGTGATGACTAAGGGGATGCTGGCTGGCAGAGCTGCCACATATCAATGACAATTTCATTCTGGAACTTCCACATAAAACAATGATTGTGAGAAGGCTTTGGGGTGTATGAACTGAGCTGCCCGTGATAAGTGAATTCTCACCTGGCAATCTTTCGAGGAACACAACACTGGTTTGGTGCACACTGTGTTCTTGAGTTAGTGTCATCCCACAGATATTCGTGATCCCATAAAGTAAGCCCCGAAAACTAAGGCGAGTTGGGAACTTGAGGAATTGTTGAGTCAAGTAGAAATTACTTTGCCGGACTCACCACTAGTGTCTAAATGGTCACTAGAGGGAGTCCTTTTCCATGAAATTGGCTGAATTTAGCATCTGGCCCTGCAATATGTGAAGCAAGATTTGAATGGACTGCGTTTACTGAACTGACTCAGCAGCTTGTTTATCAATAACTATGGGAAAGAACACATACCCTCACCCAAAAAGAAGCAACTATCATGTTAATAGCAATAGCATCTGATATATTCAAACAGCAGCAGCCAGTTGTGCTACAGGCTCAGACAAGAAGAGGTTCAGTTCTGGGAACACTATAGCCAACCTGAAGTACAGCAAGATTTTACTGGTAAGCACATATTTCCTGATATTCCCTCAGAGCCCCAGGCCACAAACTAGAAAGGAACTTCGGCTCTCTGTGGTACAGTTGTTGAGTGTGAACAGGTTAGGCACCAACCCTGCAGCCTCCCCCCTGGGAGACAGGTGGGCAGGGCCCCACAACGATTCCTAAATCCTGAGTTAATATAAAATTATTCTTTGGTGGACAAAGTATAATCATGCCCCAGGCCAGAAAGACCCTAGGGTTTGCCAAGCAATGACGTTTAGTAATTATACTACTTATGAAAAATGTATAATATATGAGAAAAAAGCACTTTTGCTAAGAAGGTTAGGGAAGTGGCATTGTGATCAATAACTAATGTGGATGCATCAAACCATATTAAGTCTCTCTGCCACGGCTACATGACATAGTAAGGGAGTTTTAGACTGCATTATAAAAATAAATGAAAATGGAACACAGGTATAAAATGGTTTCCAGATCCTTGGGGATGTCCAACTAAAATTTCCACTGGATGGAAATCCCATGGAGGCTTATTGGCCAGAAAAGAAAGTAAATTTACCTTTGGAAAAGTGATGTATGCAACTGAATGCCTCTGTTGAAGCCGATAAAAACTGCAAGTGATCGTGGGGAAAAAAGAGGGAGAGAATTAGTCCTGCCAAAAAGGTGTATCAGAAATCTTGTGAGGGAAGATAGTCATGGTCACTGTGATTACTGAGAAGAAATGCCAACTCCTAATTGGATGACAGGGATCCTAGTGTGGCAGAGTTTTGAAATGTGTATTTTCATACATCAGTATTGTGGAAGTTACTGTGTTAAGATTTATTTTTGAATTGCCTAAGGAATACATGGCAAGGAATTACTGACAACGGTCAGACGTAAACTGGAAGGAATGAATTAACAGGTGGACTATAATCATTCCCTCTTCCTCCAGAAAACCCGAGGATTTGACTCTTGTTTCCACATCTTGCAACAGTAATTCAAGAAGTATATAGGAGTGTACCAGATCTAAGATAAATTAGGGTCCTGCTATGTGGTGAACCCGCGTCCTCCTAAGCAGACAGGGGTAGACCATCCCAGTCCACAGGATGCCAGTTGCACTAACTAACATGCAAAGGCCCCTGTCTGCATTAGGGTCCCCAACCCCTGCAGGTAGATCTCAGTCCTAGCCCAGTGTGGCTGATGGAGATAGATAATTGCTCAGCCCTTACCAGACACTCAGAGGTCAAGGATCCATTTGAGAACCTAATGAAAACAATGTATATCATCCCCAGAAAAAAAAAAAGCATATTTCTACATACAAAGAAAAAGTTCACACCATGTCAGAGGGTGCGCGGTCCCCTCGACCATCTGACAATGCTCTAGGAGAGTCCGGAGTGTCTCTGCATTGAGAACCACTTGATAAAGACTAACGCTGAAGTAAGCGGGCCAACAGAGAACCGCCTTCTAGCATATACTACGGGTCCCTTAGATCACTTCCACTAAATTCACTCTTGGTAGGATGCCCCCAGACCTCCACTGAGGACCCTTAGAAGAATTTACTGTTTCCTCCAAGGACCTTGCTGAGAAGGCTTTCCTTTGCAATGCATGCTAATCCCTTCATGAAAACCCGCAAGAGATATTTGCCTCAGGTCACAGAGCCAGAATTGGCAGTGTGCCTCCTGAATACCAACTTACTTTAACCTATCGGATACTGAGAATCATATGAACGCCCTTCTCACCCTCTTCACATGGGCTTTTAGCCAGCTCAGAGTTAAAGGAGCCTCTAGTAAGGGTGCCAGGACTTCCCGCATATCCTGTGAACTCACTCCGCCCTCACCATCATCTCCTTCCCATACCTTACTGTTTTGGCTGCTTGTCCCTAGGTTATTTTTTATTTATTTTATCTTGTTCATTGTGTCTACCTTGCTAAGCAACCCCAATCTTTTTAAAAGAGGATAAAGTAGGAAAAAAAAAAAGAAATGGCAGAGAAGGCAAGAGCCAGCAAGGAAGGGAAGAGGTGTGAGGGGAACAGACCCAAGCCGCCAAGCACGTGGCTAGTTCTTTGTCATGTGAATCGAGGGTATCTCCAAGGATAACTGTCAGGAACCCCAAAATATAGATTAACAGAAGGTCCCTCTCCTGACCATGCTCCCTCCTCCTTGGGTCTGTATAGAAGTTCTTGAAGAGGCTTACCGGCATCCAAAGGAACAGGCCTGCATCCTC